GAGTGCACATGCCACTTGGGGCATGCAGCAAAGGTCACTGTCTAGGAATTTTCAACTCGTTCAAAATTTCTGTGCATCCCATGTTAATTAATATGAAAGGCACCACGTTGGTGGTAAGCATTATCGTGAAACTGGTGCATCTTTCAATAGCCTCGGCCCCACGTTTTGTCCATCTGTCTACCCTCCTGGCCACTTCTCTATCCCCTGTCTCTGTTGCTCAGGGTTGCTTCTTCATCTCTTCCAGTAATGCCCCACCTCCAATCAGAGCAAAGCCTGCCCACAAGAAAAAAGCCTAAGCTAAATCCACTCGCATTAATAAGGCCAGTATGTTATCCCTTCCAATAACGTGCGCATGATGATTGTATTCATCAAGGGAAAAAACATTTTTTGTTGTTGTTTGAGACAGGGTCTCACTCTGTTACCCAGACTGGAGTGTGGTGGTGCCATCACGGCTCCTGCAGCTTTCACCTCCCAGGCCCAGGTGATCCTCCTGCCTCAGCCTCCAGAGTAGCTGGAACCATGCCCGGTTAATTTTTAGATTTATTGTATTAGAGACCGGATCCCACTATGTTGCCCAGGCTGATCTCCAACTCCTGAACTCAAGCGATCCTTCTGCCTCAGCTTCCCAAAGTGCTGGGATCGCATGAGTGAGTCGGCACTCCCAGCTGGAAAGCAGTTTTAAGTCAATGTTATGAGGGAAGTGAAAAAATGATTGAGCACCTATTATGTCCCAGGTATTATGCTGAGCACATGATCCAATCTAACCTTCAAAAACAACTGCACGAGGAGGCAGTTTTATATTCATCTTACCGAGGAGGAAAATGAGAGTAACCTCTCTCAAGGTACATGATGGCTTCAGCCTGAAATGGCTTCTGGAGTGGATGGTAGGCCCTATGGGTCACCAGAATCCAGGATTATATGGAGGTATCTCAAAGCTAGTACCAGGAAACAGGGCTTGCTGAGCAAGTAAGAGTCGATAAAGAACCCAGGCATTTCCCCTCAGCTTTGGCCAGAACAGGGCTGCTTGTGTACATTTTCAACATTGGATTCCAGGAAAGCTTCTGTATTAAGAGTTCAACTTGGCCGGGCGTGGTGTCTCATGCCTGTAATCCCAGCACTTTGGGAGGCTGAGGTCCGGGAGATCACTTTAGCCCAGGAGTTTGAGACCAGTCTGGACAGCCTAGGGAAACCCCCCTCTCTATTATTATTATTATTATTATTATTGTTATTATTGTTTTCAAGTTCAGCTTAAAAAAATAAAAATATTTTGTTTCAAAATAACTTCCTTGGCAAACAGGATCTTTGGAAGGGATTTAAGCAGGGTATAACACGTCATATTCACTTTTTGAAATATTGCCCAGAGACTGCATAGAAAATAGATTGAGCCTGGAAACAATTCTCCAGAGGAGAGTCGTAGAGGACCTGAACTAGGCAGTAGCAGAGGGATGGAGACAAGAAGACAGCTGTGAGACACGCTGGGGAAGACGGCCTTCTAGACCCCAGTGACTCTAAGCATGGGCTCTGGGCCAATAACCTCAGCATCTCTTGGGAGATTATGAGAAATGCAAATTCTCAGGCTCCAACCCAGATCTACTGAATAAAAATCTGTGCTTGGACAAGATCCCCAAGGGATCCATATGCTCCTTAAACTTCAGAAGCACTGCTTTCAGACCACTTGCCTGGGAGAGGGATGGAGGAAGGAATGGATGATGACTCTGAGCCTGTGTTCAAGCATTATAAAATAGGTGAGACCTTCTAGAACAACATGGATGAGACCTTTCTTTGAGAAGAGCGCTTTCCCTTCAACAACTCAGTGGGCATGGCGAGGGCATCCTGGTGCCATGACCTCTCCCTAAACAGCTGGCAGTCACGGCATAGCTTGTTAAAGTGCCATTTGCTTTCTCTTATGATACAGCAGGTCTTCAAACAATGTTACAATGTTGATGAGGAAAAAAAAATTGATTCCCAGCCAAGGCCACTATCTGTGTGGAGTTTGCAAGCGCTCCCCACATCTGTGTGGGTTTTCTCCAGGTGATCCGGTTTCCTCCCACTTCCCAAATCTGTGCCTGTTAGGTGAATTGGCATGTCCACACTGCCCCAGTGTGAGTGAGTGTGGGAGTGTGTGTGAGGTGTAAGTGTGCCCTGTGATGGGATGGCGCCTTATCCAGGGCTGGTTCCTGCCTTTTGCCATGAGCTGCTGGCACAGGCCCCAGCCACCTGCAACCCTGAACTGGATGAAGCAGGTAAATAATTATCTTACTTAATTTTATCAATCTTTCTTGAATGTATGTGTAGCCCACACTTATTTCCATGTTTAATATAAAAAGTGTTTTGTTCTAAACATAACTCTGTTTTATATCAATTAGCCTAAATTCAAATTGGTTTCATTGTACCTTCTTTGTCATTGTACCTTCTATGTCATTTCACATAGTGGCAGTTTCCAAGAACCTATCGTTAAGGGAGGACTTACTGTACTCTCCTTTTCTCTGTTGGTGTGGATTTCTTCAAGGATCCAGGACCACCTTCCCCACCTTTGACTGTCCTAATGAACTGTAAACCTTTTATGCCTGGGCTATTCTCGACTTTGTTTTTCTCTTCCCCAACACTTTCTTGTCTAATGTTGTATTCTTTCTGGATTTTCTAATTTAAGCTAAAATACTGGTGGCTAATAAGGCTCATATATTTTACCTCTTCAAAGAAAGATTTTAGTATTAAAAGAGATGGTTCCTGGGCCAGGCTCAGTGGCCCACACCTGTAATCCCAGCACTTTGGAGACCAAGACAGGCAGATGATTTGAGGTCAGGAGTTCAAGACCAGCCTGGCCTACATGGTGAAACCCTGTCTCTACTAAAATACAAAAATCAGCCGGGCGTGATGATGCATGCCTGTAATCCCAGCTACTCTGGAAGCTGAGGCAGGAGAATTACTTGAACCCGGGAGATGGAGGTTGCAGTGAGCCAAGATTGGCCCACTGTACTCCAGCCTGGGCAACAGAGCGAGACTCCAACTCAAAAAAAAGAAAAAAAAAATAAAAGAGAGAGACTGTTCCTTAACTCAAGGACATCAGGGATGGGACTGTTTTAAGCATCCAGTCAGTGAGGAAACATGCAGAGGCACAGGGTCTGTAAGATCCTCTCAACTAGATGACATTTTCTCCTGTTCTCTTCTGCATCAGAAACGACGTTCACTCCTATCTGCTTGTGTTTTCTTTCTTTCTTTTTTCTTTCTTTCTGTTTTTCTTTCTTTCTCTTTCTTTCTTTCTTTCTTTCTTTCTTTTTTTCTTTCTTTCTTTCTTCTTTCTTTCTTTCTTTCTTTTCTTTTCTTCTCTCTCTCTCTCTCTTTTTTTTTTGAGATAGAGTTTCATTTTGTTACCCAGGCTGGAGTGCAGTGGTGCAATCTAAGCTCACTGCAGACTTTGCCTCCATGGGGCTCAAGCAATTCTCCTGCCTTAGCTTCCTGAGTAGCTTGGATTACAGACATGAGACACCAAGCTCAGCTAATTTTTGTTCTGTTTTGTTTTGTTTTTGGTAGAGATGAAGTCTCGCTATTTGCTCAGGCTGGTCTAGAACTTCTGGGCTCAGGCAATCAGCCTACCTTGGCTCCCCAAAGAGCTGGGATTATAGGCATGAGCCACCACACCCAGCCCTGCTTGTGTTTTTGCCTCTAGTGCTCTCTGTCTGCCTGGAATGCAATTCCCCAGCTCCCCTGCCACCTCAGGCTGAGTTAGGTACCCCACCTGTGTGGTCTCCTTGGGCTTTCCCCTATAGCCTGTTGTCATGCTGCACTCTAGTTGTTGGTTTACATGTCCCGCCTACACTTGATTCAGTGTCTTTTCATCTTTACACCCTCAAAGTATATCACAGTGCCTTGCTCATACCAGAGGCATAATAAATATTTGTTAAATGAGTCAATGAAAGACTGTGTGACTGTGGATGAGATTGGCTTTGAGTGTAGGCTGGGATGGGGGAGTTGGAACAGTAGTGTCTGTAGCAGTAAGAGGTGGAATTAGAACTCATGAACATCTAGACATATAATGAGGTCAGGAGCTACTCTGCATTCTGCATGGGTCTTTGCATATCTCTGAATTACTTATAATACACTACCGGGCCCTTCTGATGAAGTGTAAGCTAGAAAATTCCTCCCCACCTTAACTTTATGGGCAAGCATTGAAACTTGCCCAGTGTTATTCTCACTGAAAGGCTCGTACAGCAGTGACTGTAAAGTGGGTTTGGTGACTTATTTTTACTTTTATGAGTGTTTTAGTTTCACTTGTAATGGTAGTCTTAGTAAGCTTTTACTTAGTGTACATTAAGAGCCCAAGGAACAATAGACTTGCCCTTAGCCTATGTCCACTCCCCAACCTCTGTTTACTGAGAGATTCTCAGCCTTAAGAAAGGATGCACTCCTACACAGTCTACCTATCCTCTAATAAATGCCAAGAGAATACAAGGGATGTCCAAAATACCAAAGTGAGAAATTACTGCTATTGTAGCTTGAAGCTTAGAGGGTACATTCCTCCCTGCCTTAACTTAAATACTCTTTCTACAGAAGCGAGAAACAAAGACAGATCCCGGCAAACCAAGAGTAGTAGAGAAAGTGTTTACATGAATGGACACAGGGGCACGTTTTGTTCTTTCTCAGCAATCCTTTGTTGTTGCAAACAGAGACTATATATGATCCTGATGGGCAATAGGGCCTAGTGATTTGTCTTTTCATTCTCCTCCGCTAATGATCCTCTGAACAGTCTACTGATCACATTTCCTTGCCCTTCATTCTTTTTAAAAAGACCTTCGAAATTTAGTTCTCACTCTCCGTACTCTCAATCTACCCATGGCCATTGCTCTTCCTTACATCAGCTCTCTGCTTTCCCACATCACCATCTAAAAGGCCATTTCTATATTTTGTCCTGAGAAAGCTATACTTGTATCTAATAGTTATGAAGTTGTGTGTAATTATACTTTTATCTTTTCTGGTCATTATCACCTATATATACCATATAAGAACATTGAGAGAAGCCACTCTGAAGATGAACCTCAAATTTATTTCCATGCCATGGAAACCAACATTTCCAGAAATCATAAGTAAGTCACTCATATGGATCAGGATTATGTTTTTTACTCTCCCGCAGAAGGCCTATAGCTGGTCCCTCTTACAACATTGGGGAGTGGTGCCCCAATTTCATGCTCTAATCACCAGAATTTGATAGGATGCACATGGCTAAGACAGAGACAATTTGAAGATACATGGAGATCCTGGAAATGATGCTTGCAAAAAGAAAGGCGGCATCTAGACACGCTTTGCCTCATTCATAACATTTCTTTTTTTTAAATTAATATTTTAACTTTTATTTTAGGTTCAGGGGTACATGTGCAGGTTTGTTATATGGGTAAACTTGTAACTTGGAGATTTGGTATATAGATTATTTGATCACCTGGGTAGTAAGCATAGTACCTAGCAGTTTATTTTTTTCCTTTTCCCTCACCCTCCTCCCACAAGCAGGCCCCAGTGTCTGTTGTTCACCTCGTTCTGTCCACGAGTATTAGTTCATTCTTACATTGCTATAAAAAACGACCTGAGACTGGGTAATTTATAAAGAAAAGAGGTTTAATTGGCTCCCAGTTCTGCCGGCTGAACAGGAAGCATGGTTGTGGAGGCCTCAGGAAACTTGTAATCATGGTGGAAGGTGAAGGGGAAGCAGGTGCATCTTACATGGTTGGAGCAGGAGGAAGAGAATGAAGAGGGAGGTCCTCTACACTTTTAAACCACCAGATCTCATGAGAACGCACTCACTATCATGAAAACAGAAAAGAGGAAATCCACCCCCATGATTCAGTTACCTCCCACCCAGGGTCCTCCTCCAACACTGGGGAGTACACTTTGATACGAGATTTGGGCGGAGACAAAAATCCAAAACATATCATTCTGCCTCTACCCCTCCCAAATCTCCTGTTCTTCTCACATTGCAAAATACAATTATTCCTTCTCAACAGTCCCCCAAGTCTTAACTCATTCTAGCATTAACTCAAAAGTCCATAGTCCAAAGTCTCACCTGAAACGAGGCAAGTTCCTTCTGACTATGAGCCTGTAAAATCAAAAGAAAATTAGTTACTTCCAAGACACAGTGATGGTGCAGCCATTCGGTAAATATACAATTCCAAGAGAGAGAAATCAGGCAAAACAAAGGGGCAACAGGCCCTATGCAATTCTGAAATTCAGCAGTACAGTCATTAAATCTTAAATCCCAAAACAATCTCCTTTTACTCCATGTCTCACATCCAGGCAACTCTGATGCAAGGAGTGGGCTCCCAAGGCCCTGGGCATCTCTGGCCCTGTGGCTCTGCAGGTTACAGCCCCCTTGGCTGCTTTCATGGGCTGGTGTTGTGTGCCTATGGCTCTTCCAGGTACATGGTGCAAGCTGTTGATGGAGCTACCATTCCAGGGTCTGGAGGATGGTGACTCTCTTCTCACAGCTCCACTAGGCAGTGCCCTAGTGAGCACTCTGTGTGGGAGCTCCAACCCCACATTTCCCCTCCACACTGCCCTAGTAGAGGTTCTCTATGAGGGCTCTGCCCCTGCAGCAGATGTCTGCCTGAACATCCAGGTTTTCCATACATCCTTTGAAATCTAAGCAGTGGCTACCAAGCCTCAACACTTGTCCTCTGCACACATGCAGCCTTAACACCATGTGGAAGCTGCCAAGGCTTATGGCTTATGTCTTCTGGGGCAGAGACATATATGGGGCCCTTTTAGCCATGGCTGGAGCTGGAGTGGCTGGGACACAGGGAACAGTGTTCTGAGGTAATGCAGGGCATTAGGGCCCTGGGCCCAACCTGCAAAACCATTCTTCCCTCCTAGGCCTCCAGGCCTGTGATGGGAGGGTCTGCTGTGAAGGTTTCTGAAATGCCTTCAAGGCATTTCCCCATTGTCATGGCTATTAACATTTGGCTTCTCTTTGCCTATGCAAATTTCTGCAGCTGGCTTGAATTCCTCCCCAGAAAATGGGTTTTTCTTTTCTACCACATGGCTGGGATGCAAATTTACCAAATTTTCATGCTCTGCTTCCCTTTTAAATGTAAGTTCCAGTTTCAGATCATCTCTTTTTTGCTCACAAATAAAAGCATATGCTATTAGAAGCAGCCAGGCCACATCTTGAAGGCCACATCTTGAATGCTTTGCTACTTAAAAATTTCTTCTACCAGATACCCTAAATCATCATTCTCAAGTTCAAAGTTCCACAGATCTCTAGGGCAGGGGCACAATGCCTCCAGTCTCTGCTAAAGCATAGTAAGAGTGACCTTTACTCCAGTTCCCAATACGATCCTCATCTCTATCTCAGACCACCTCAGCCTAGACTTCATTGTTCATACCACTATCAGCATTTTGGTCACAGTAATTTAACAAGTCTCTAGGAATTCCAAACTTTCCCTCATCTTCTCGTCTTTTTCTGAGCCCCTCAAACAGTTCCAACCTCTGCTCACTACCCAGTTTCAAAGCTGCGTCTACATTTTCAGGTATCTTTATGGCAATATCCCACTCCCAGCACCATTTTTTCTGTATTAGTCCATTCTCTCATTGTTATAAAGAACCACATGAGATTGGGTAATTTATAAAGAAAAAAGGTTTAATTGGCTCATGTTTCTGCAAACTGTACAGGAAGTATGGCTAGAGAGGCCTCAGGAAACTTACAATCACAGTGGGTGGTGAAGGATGATAGGGAAGCCACCATGTCCTACATGGCTGGAGCAGGAGGAAGAGAGTGAAGGAGGAAGTGCTACATACTTTTAAATGACGAGATCTTGTGAGACCTCACTCACTACTCACTACCATGAGAACAGCAAGGGGGAATCACCCCCACAGTTCAATCACCTCTCATCAGGCCCATCCTCCAATACTGGAGATTAAAATTCAACATTAGATTTGGGTGGGGATGCAAATCCAAACCATAGCACCATATGTTCTTATTATTTAGCTCCCACTTGTAAGTGAGAATATTTGGTGTTTGATTTTCAGTTCCTGTGTTAGATTGCTAAGGATAATGGCCTCCAGCTTCATCCATGCTCCTGCAAAGGACATGATTTCATTCTTTTTTGTGGCTGCATAGTATTCCATGGTGTATATGTACCATATTTTTGTTATCCAGCCTACCATGGATGGGCATTTAGGTTGATTCCATGTATTTGCTATTGTAAATAGTACTGCGATGAACATATGAGTGTATGTGTCTTTATGGTAGAATGACTTATATTCCTTTGGGTATATACCCAGTAATGGGATTTCTGGGTTGAATGGTAGTTTTGTTTTTGGTTTTTGAGGAATTGCCACACTGTTTCCCACAACACTGAACTAATTTAAACTACCACCAGCAATGTATAAGAGTTCCCTTTTGTCTGCAACCTTGTCAGCATCTGTTGTTGTTTGACTTTTTAGTAATAGCCATTCTGATTGGTGTTAGATGGTATTTCATTGTGGTTTTTGATTTGCATTTTTCTAATTATTAGTGATGAACATTTTTCCATATGCTTGTTGGCTGCATGTGTGTCTTCTTTTGAAAAGTGTCTGTTCGCATTCTTTGTCCACTTTGTTTGTTTGTTTTTGTTTTCATTTTTGGGTTTTTTTGGTCTTGCTCTGACACCCAGGTTGGAGTACAGTGATGTGATCTTGGCTCACTGTAACCTCTGCCTCCTGGGTTGAAGTGATTCTCCTGCCTCATCCTCCCGAGTAGCTGGCATTAAAGGTGTGCCACATGCCTGGCTAATTTTTTGTATTTTTAGCAGAGACAGGGTTTTACCATGTTGCCCAGGCTGGTCTCAAACTCCTGGCCTCATGTGATCCACCTGCCTCAGCCTCTCAAAGTGCTGGGATTACAGGTGTGAGCCATTGTGCTTGACCCTTTGTCCACTTTTTAAAGTGGTTGTGCAACATTTCTTAGGGCCAGTTCCAACTACAGTTATGCAACCTTTGACTCAAGAGCCTTCACAGGATTTCCTTTAGTGTTTGCTGCATTTTTGCCAATTCCCACAATATTGTTTGAACTGTAACAGTTTTTCCTTCTTTCTTCTTTTTTTTTTTCACCAACTGGAATCTAAGATTGACTTACAGAAGCAAAGTATGTCTGAAATGATTAATATTCCTCTGAGTCTCTATGCGTATCAAGGTTTGTAACCTATTGTGAACTTGTGTGACTATGATTTAATCAGTGCAATTGATCTAAATAGTTTCCACACAAAAGCAGTTGACTGACTATAATGTAATCATGAAAAAGCAACAACTCTGAATTTTATTATATTATATTTATGTGCTCCATTTATTATGGTGTTGTCCTAAACCTCCAAAATGAAATGGCATACCCAAATTAAAAATACACTAAAATATTTTAGTGACAAGAATATATTTTTATTTTTTAATATCTGCAGAAGGGGCACAAATATATTATACTGGGAATATTTCATTTCATTTTTTAAAAATCATAGCGGCAACTATGCATTTAGAGTCATACTGCAGAGAGCATTATTACTTGCTCTATTTTGACTCCTTCATATTTTCCTTTCTTTTTAAAAGAATATGTGTGTGTGTATGTGTTGCTTTACTGTCTGGAAGATGACAAATTATGTACTTTAGTGACATAAATTACCTGAACAATTTACTGTAGATGCTCCTGGCAGAAAAGGCCACGTCATTCTTGTGTTTCCTTCTTTGCTGCTGTGAGAACACTATGTTCCCTGGAGAGCCTGGTGAGGCCTGGCTGGGCTAAATTCTTTTCACATACTTGGTTCACTGCTTGAATACCCAAGAGGCAGAGCTTACTCTCTCACTCTCTCTGAGAATGGGTTTACCATTCTTGTGATGGCCCCTTGCATTCTGCTTTTCTGCCTCCAGTAATGTTTGGTATTTGATAATTTGGGAAAAAGGGACCACCAGCTATGCATTTGGATAATTATGAAATAAATGCTGTTTAGGGCAGGCAAAGGTTTCATAAATTCTAGCCTGTGATCAGCTCCCAACCCAGAGAACGCATTTCAATTGTGTTTATCTTTGCTTGCATATCTACAAATAAGACATAAACATAGTTATCAATCATTTG